TGAAAATAAATTAGGGGATCTTTTGTATGCCAGACCCCTTAGTTTGGTTAATTTGTGCAAGAAAAGGGTAGCATGCTCATTCAAGTGGTGAGGATTTTATTTGGTGTTAAAATGTGAAGTTATGCATGCCATGATTCTATTTGTAACATGTTTTGTATGGAATTACGGAATACATACTAGAAAGTATGTTGCTAAAAGGTGTATCTTTTTACAAGCTTATGTGTGTTTATATGTGGTGAATTTGAATATCTACACCTATAGTATGACATGTGATGTAATATGGCTTGGACTAATAATTAGAATACACGCATAAATACATAATATTGAATGGCAAGGTGTGTATATGACCCATGCAAGTGAACTAGTTAATTATAAGATTAATTAAAAAGGGGAATGCACATAGTAGGGTAAAAGGGTTGTAACCTAAACTTAGGTGCATGTCCTATTGGATGTCACAGTGGAAGGATATCGTTGGGGAAATGGGATTAAGTCAATTCAATGTCGAGTGGTTTTCTAGGTAACCATTTCAAAACATGGTACTGGTGCACGTCGGTGTACGAGGTGGGGGTTTAGGTTTAGAAGGACCATTACACCACCTTTGAATGATAAAACATCGTGCTCATACATGCAAAATCGGAGTAGTGAACACAGAGAACCAGAGACCATTTTATAGGTGGGAGTCATGCTCCATTTGGTGCAGTGGGTCGTCAGGTCACATTAGTAGCAGACATGGTCATTCTTTAGGGATTTAGTGACATTATAGACCCTAGTTAGCGAGGGACATTAAAAGTAATTATTGCGAAGTAAATTATATCATAATTACTGTGATGAATAAAAGGTCTAGATTAATATATACATTATATATTAATTATAATAAGTGGTGTATGTTTATTGGTATTAACTGAATGCAATGAATAACCATATTTTTTGAAGTATGTTTGTTTCCATACCTATGTGCTTGAGATTGACTCACTATGTTGATGTTGATGCTTGTTTCTTTGTGTGTTGCTTTCGCCTTGCATTGGTACTAGTAGCATGATTTGATGACCTGGTGAGGTTGGGACTCTTTTGAGTAGTTACTTATAGTATTACCTTAGTGATGATATCAGTTTGAGATTTTTCAATGAGATTTCTTTCACACTTGTTTTTGGTATCGATTTTTCAAACTTTAATTTTGATGGGTTAATTTTGAAAGGTTTAAATTAAGTAATGT